TCCACAGGACTTCTATTTTTCCTTATTGAAGGTAGAATAACCATGTGATAGAACATATGATGGAATACACGACTTCTATTTTTCCTCATAACAGGTGGAATAACCACATTTCTAGTAAAACACGAGTAGCCAAAACGAATCTGATAAGCAAGGTCCAGTTTGACTAATCTTTTAAAAAGAAAAGCTTCTTTTTTTCCCTAGTCGCTCAATGGCTACCTTTTCGCGGTTAAGAGAGGAAGTCCGTCTTCCAGATCAGGGATGGTCAGATTGGGAGAAGGCTATGGTCCCCCAAGATGACCAGAGCAGCAATCTTGAAGAACGTGGAGAGAATCATGTTGGATCCTTTTGCTCGAGCATACGAACCGCGTTTCCCGGAGAGGCACAGCGCTTTGGAATTTATGAGTGGTGAGCTAAGGGTACCAAGTACGGACAACCCAATCACGTCGTTTATGTAGGATGTACTTGTAGAGGTAACAACAGATCCTTAGGAGAGGAAATTCTTGAATACTGCAGGAACGGATTGCACAAAGGCGCTCTCATTAATGATGCGTTGGCCAGGGGTTATGAGTTATGGGTTCGTGTTAAGATCGCAGAAAGTGACGAGCCGAGGAAGTATGCGGAAGAGATGCAAAACGAACTTTTAGCTCAGTACAATTATGCATGGAACATTAGAAACAACGCTATACGTGATTTACTGCGGCCGTAAACAGTAAGCAAGGGAATTAAAAAAATAGAAGTTTTTGAGAAAGTTGCCATGTGCCTGCGTGATATGAAAATCTTATTTTCTTCGAAACAACGACATCGATACGTTGGAAAATTACGTTTTGCAGTGAACCAAAACTAGCAGGAGAAATGACTTTCCTCTTGTTTAAACTAGATATGGTTGAGTTTCGAAATAGAATGTTTAGACTATTAAAACTCGTTGAAATTATTAATTCATCGCAAGGTAAATCACCTGCTTCAAAAATGCCATTTTTATTGGACTGCACTCTTCAGTTTGTATTTTATCCCTGAATAATGTTAGTTATAAATTAGCCAAACAACATAGCCTGGATAAAGAGGAAAATTTTCTTTACGTTTCACCTTTTTCTTCTCTTTGAAATTATGCTTCGGCCGGACCAATTCTATTTTTAGCCCAATTCTTTGATGTAAACTTTCTCGGAGGGGGGTAGGGAGTAGGGGGGTTTCGTAATATATGATAGTTCTCGAAGGTTATGATAACAATTCTAGAGCAAAAGCGATGAGGCAGACTTGACTGAAAAATAATTCTGGCGAATTACAACATACGAGCCCAGAGCAGGTAAACGTCCTCCCTAGAACTTAGCACTACTCCACTCACCAAACTTCCTTTATTTCATATGCTGCTGTGCCATACTTTATACATGTAGAAGCAGATTAGAGAATAGAAGGATAGCTATAGAACCGTCTTACTTAATGATAGTTAGTTTTAGATTCCAAGTCCCTTTTCCCTTTTCCTATGTCTATTTTTTCCCGTTATAAAATATGCTCTTGGATTAAAATTTCTGTGAAAAAGGGGAAATTTTCTCAGTGAACTCTTTTTCGAATCTTGATTTCTGTCTTGATACAAGCTGTGTAAGCGATAAACTGAAAATATGCTACATGTAATGTTTTGAGTCCGTGGCTTAGAACTATCGGTGGGTCATGATTGCGGTACACCACGGCTAAAGTGAAAACCGTTTATTCACGTCAGTTACACACTTACTCTTAACCGTAAAAGAACTACTACAATAAATTAAATACACGCTATATGTATATTTATAGATGCAAATCCCACACGTGGGAATCACGATACACTACGATGGCCAGTGTGCTTTGCATGGCTCGTGAATATAATACTGTTTTGAACGACCTAGAAAGCATTTTGTTCCTATTGTCCTTGAACATAGGAACAAAAAAGTTAGTTTGAACACCTGTCTGTGTTCGGACGTTTTCCTTTGTGTCAAAGAATACTTTAAATAAATCACCCTTTCCAAGGAAACAAATACTATACGATTTGAAACTGATCAAAGGGACAGAAAAGCCAAAATTAAAAATAGTAAGACCGTGACGCAAGCCTTGTGATTCTCTTCTAGGACATCGATAAACCTAACACCATTCTAATTTCACTAAAGACGACTCTACAGATGTTGTGATTACCGTTGATACGGACCTTGCCACAAAATCTATGGAAAGTATTTCAAATTACATTACAGCATTCATATATATCTTCAGTTTGTACCATTGAAAATTGATGCTACTCTATGAGATCAAGTTGACCACGAATGCTATTAAAAGATAAAAAAAAAAAACTACTAAAGAGAGGAAATACTGTGGAGATACAATAACTTTTATCAATATTTGATAGCTGTATGGAATCAATTCCGTGAGTTTTCAGGTAGAGAGAAATTCTTTTTCAAAAGTAGAGATTAAATTCCTTCTCGCTAACCTCTGTCAGATGGATTTTCGTCTACGTAGAACTCGTCGCATATCTTCTGTTAACCCAACCTCTTGTTTGAATATTGTCAGAATATCTTTATCGCCTCGAAAAAGCTTCTGCCAAAAAAACTGAAGAAAGTTGAGGTACAGGGAAGCATTTATAATCATTAACATGAGGTCTACTATGGTCATTGGCTTTGTTTCGCCATACTCCACTGTGTATAACTTGAAGGCGACCTGACTTGAAACGGTTAAAAACTTGCAAAGATTGTCCAAGACAAAAACAGACATAGTTAAACAATAGGCACCTCTGGAAATGACTCGAAAGCCTTTTTTCCTTGAAGGCGGAAATGTAAAGTTCAACTGAAATAACAAAAGCAATGTCCATAGTTTTGAAACCACCACTAAGCATTCGACATAAATCTTCGCATGACTATTGCTGACCATGATTAATACATCATAAAGAACAACGGTACCTGTGATTGTGTTGAGAGACCAGAAGTAGGGCTTTTTGATGATACTCATGAATATTTTTTTGTTCCTTAACGGTCTTAACTTTGGTAACATCTTTGTGTTGAGTAAAAGAAGCCACACGGTGGATGTTATGATCGAGCACGCTAGCCATATCGTCTTCCAGCAGTACGGGTCGCAGTTTGCTATATGGTAAACGGTAAATCCGTTGCAGTCCACACTAGTTGAGTCATGGTACAAGGTGCAGTCAATCATGAATATTGAAAACAATACCAGAGTCAATAGTCTAAACAACTGGAAAACAATGCAAAGCTGCGGAAAGTATGAGGACACCAGTGCGAAGAATCTGTTCTGACGCTAGGAAGGGAATGGTCAATAAAGTATAGAGGGTAATCAGATTTTTACATAATTTACTTTGTTAAGCATTCGTCTTTCATGTACTTGAGGAATGAAGAAGCCTCAACTGTGCTATGTTCGGTTGTAAAGCACGCAGGAAGTGGCTGAAGAAGATTTTGCTTTGTAGAAATTTACTGCGTTTTTTGCACTTTGCGCACTTTCACCTCCCTTCTACAGAGAGCGTAAAGACAGTAGAATCCATCTCGTAGTATTTATTGTTAACATTAGTTGCTTCATCTACAAGCGATATTGTGAGAGACGCTTACATTTTGATGAGTTTTACAAGTCAAAACTCTACGTGGAATACACATAACGGCCTTATACCTATTTATCAGAAAGTTCGGATATAACACGCACTGTCATTGGTTGAAAGGGCGTGCTATATCAAAGTATACGGAGCATGGAGCTAAACTGAAGTTGTCACGCCATCTGCCAATTTTTCACTTTTTCTTGCTTTTTCTCGTTAATTAATAATGAAATTTCGGAATATGCCAGACGGCAAGCAGCAACTGAACAACCAGGTTCAAGTTGTTAACATGCCAAGTGCCGTGAATTGCTTTAAAATAACTTGTACACATACGAAATCCTCAAGGAGAAAACGAAATGGATAGTCCGGGTTTTGAAGGTTTTCACGCTCACTTAGACAGTAAACTTACGTACCTAACACTCGCATAGTATGTATAGCCTCGTGTTTAAAAACAAAACAGGTATGATGAAACTTAAAAATATATCCAAACTGGCATAACTTTTAAAATTCAAACAAATCATGACGATGTCAGAGAAACTGCGATCATGCTGAGGTTCTTCGCGGCTAGCTCATCATGGCGATTTACGGTCGTCACAGTGAAGCAAGCTTCAGAAATTACATCGGCTGCCCCTCTAGAGAACCGAACTAAGAGTTGTTCTAATATTCCGAGCAATCTCCTCGTCCCTGTGGGTTCGGCTGTCGTTCATTCATAAAACAAACGTCTTGAGCAGTTTGTTTTCTAATTGTCATGTAAACTGAAACATGCGCGTATTTGTGAGCCCCAATTCGACCGAATTTCACTGAACATTTCACTTTCAGATTCCGTATCAAGACTAATAGCTTGAGGAATAATATGGAAAACCAAACTGGACAAAAGTGGTCGAGGATAATTTTGTTGGCCGAGAAATAATTTTGTCTTTTCGATGGTCCAAAATATTTTTGACAATCGAGAAAACCATAGTTAGTCCCCTCTACTAACTATGAGAAAACTTTTTCCTTGATCAGGAAATAATTCTCTCCGGCGAGAAATATTGTGGAAGACCAGAAATATTTTAAAGGATCGAGAAAAATTTTTCATCGATCAAACAATTTTCTTCACTGGTTGAGAATTTTTTGGTAGATTGAGAATTAATTTTGTCGATCGAGAATTTTTTCGTTGAAGAAGAAATTTTTTTGTCGATCCAGAATTTTTTTTGTCGATCAAGAAATTTCCTGTCGATCAAGAATTTTTTTGTCGATCGAGAATTTTTCCGTCAATTGAGAAAAATTGAAAAGCGTATTCCGATAAGCGTGAGAAGGAGGTCATCTCCGGTCCATTTCCGATTGCGAAATCGAGCTCACCCCTGTTGTCTTCGTGATGAAGGCTCTATTTAGCATTTTAGACCCACAAGGTAGAGTAAAACGAACACGTACTCTGTTTTCGCTCATGATTTTGTATTAGCGTAATAGATATTTTTGGAAAGAATTCCATATAACCCCATTCATTAATTATGTATTCAGCCTTTGTTCAATGAAAACAATGGCGAGAACAACAGAACTCCGCAGAGACTAGTAGTATCCACTCGCCCCAACTCTCCACTGTTTTCTAATTTAAGATGGCGGCCTGAACAACCGATGGGAATATCCACTCGCCCCGCCAAAATCCGCCTGCACTGCAGGCTATGTATTCACTGAAACTGAAGGGTTCTGCAAAAAGAACTTGTGCCAGGCAAGATACGAAAAAACCACTAAAAATGCACTATTTAGACGTGGCCAAAAAATATGTGGAAGCAGTAGCACAGAACCTCGAGGAAAGGGTACATAACCTGGTTACAATACCAATCACAGAAAAATCAATAAATGTAGTGATATTTTGAAGAGGGTTATAAAAAACAAAATTACATCACAAATTACTTAAAATTTTCGCTTTGCAATGCCTAAACCGCCGAATTTACCCTGTTTCGAAAAAGACAGAAAAGAAATCAAAATTTTGAAAACAAATATTCCCATCGGTTATTCAGCCCGCCATCTTGAATTAGACAAACAGTGGAGAGTTGGGACGAGGTAAAAAGTTTACTACGCTAGTGGGAGGGAGAGAGAAAAATTGGGGAAGGGGAAGGGGGAGGGGAAAGAAGAATGGGGAGGAGGAGGGGGAGGGGAAAGAAAAAACTTACTCATTCCTGGTGTTTCCCTTCGTGTTTTTTGGCGATTTCCGTCGTTTTGGGCTTGCTTTGCCATCACTATTTTTTTTTTCCGGTCAAGGCTGCACACCGCGATTTCGACCGTTGTCCACGCGGAAGCGGTTTGCGCCCGGAAAATCCATCTATTCGGCAGTTTTTTTACCCACAGGTTACGATCGAAGATCATTGCACCCTGGAAAATGTCTCAATTCCAAAAATCTCCGCGCAATACGCTGAAAACGAGTCTTAGACTCATGTACTCACAGACTGGACACGGCCGCGCACGAGGCTTGGGTGTAAGGTTAATTTTATCCCTACCGAGAGTGGTTCGGTCAGTTTATATAAAATACTTATCCCATCCCCACAGTGACATCTCGCTTTAATTTTTTGTTTTAATATTTTGTTTTTTATATTGATAGCTACTGTTTTTACATGTTCGTTTCTACTCTATCTTGCGGGTCTAAAATACTAAATAGAGCCTTCATCACAAAGAAAATCATCGGATCGGGTGAGCTCGATATTGCAATCGGAAATGGACCGGAGATGACCTCCTACTGGCGGACATCATACGCTTTTCAATTTCTCGATTGATGGAAAAATTCTCGATCGACAAGAAATTCCTCGATCGTCAAAACAAATTCTGGATCAACAAAAAATTTCTTATCGACAAAAGAAATTCTCGATCGACAAAAAAAATTCTCGATCGACGAAAAAACTCTCGATCGGCAAAAAAAAAATTCTCGATCGACAAACTTAATTTATAATCTACCAAAAATTCTCAACCAGTGAAAAAGATTGTTTGACCGATGTAAAAGTTTTCCCGATCCTTTAAAATATTTCTGGACTTCCACAGTATTTCTCGTCGGAGTGAATTATTTTTCGATCATGGAAAAAGTTTTCTCGATCGTCGAAAATATTTCGGGACCATCGAAAATAGACCCATTTCAAGCGTGACGTCACATCACGTGACATTGCGAACTGGAGGACAAGCTTCAGTTTGTTTACAGCATGGCGGCGAAAGCGACTACGAAGCGTGGGTTGTTACCCGGTTATTTTGAAAATCTACAGCAGAAAGAATCAAAGGAAAGATATCTCGAAAAGTTAAAGTCTATCGAAGGACAAGATCCTTACGAAATTCCGCGCAAAGAGTGGATTGACGATGTCGATTGCTGGCCAGACGTAACGTACATAAACGTGGGGATGTATCTTCTGTTTGCTGCTAGCCCGTACACCCAGGAGCAATTGATGAGCTATAAAAGCTTAGACTGCTATCAGAACTTTGCGAACGGCTGGGTAAGGGAAGTTATGTGCAAGAAATTCGGCGAAAATCGCCTGTTAATAGCAAAGGTAAGTTTTCATAACGTCTTGTTAAAGAGTGTTTACACTCGTAAATGATGGATCAAGCTGTTCTCGCGCCGATCGTTGATTCTTTACAGTATAGTAACTACTACGTTTTATTTTTTAGGTTAATCATTCTCAAAGAATGTCAGAAAAGCCTCTGACCCCTTGGGTCGTGTGTGAAAACTCGGGCAAAGTTCTGTCTGCTCATTGTGATTGCATGGCTGGTCTTGGAGAGAGCTGCTCCCATGTTGCTTCGTTGCTATGGGCCATTGAAGCGGGATGTAAACGAAGGGATTCGCTGACAGTGACCGACAAAAAGGCATACTGGGTTCTACCAACATCAGTTAAGACTGTTCCATATGCAAGGGTCAAAGACATAAACTTTTCAAAGACCCCACGTTCAACTTCGACAGTTAAGCCTTCTAATGTTACACCTCCCTCAGAGACTGAACTGACTAACTTCCTCAATTGCATCAAGGACTGCCCTTCTAAACCTGCCTTATTGTCTCTCATCCCTGCTCATTCAGATTTTTATGTACCTAAATCTGTGAATCCTGAACTTCCAGTTGTGTTGTCTAGTTTGTTTGACAACAGCCTTGCTGATGCAGACTACCCTACTCTACTAAAAAAATCAGAAGAAGCATTTGAACTACTTCAGGTGACCAAAAAGCAGCAGGAACTGGTGGAAGAAAAGACCCGTGAACAGGCAAGTTCCAGGCTTTGGTTTCGAATGAGGACAGGGCGGATCACTGCTTCAAAATTCAAGAATGCCTGTCACACCGATCCCGCATGTCCATCACATTCATTGATTATGAGTATTTGCCACCCTGAAATGGCACGTTTTAATACTGAAGCAACCAAATGGGGCTGTCATCACGAGAAGACCGCAAGGGATGCCTACTGCAGATACCAAAAAGAGAAGCATATAAATTTCACAGTGTCAGACTCTGGTCTCTTTCTAAGCACTGAGCATCCTTTTCTTGGAGCATCTCCAGATGGGCTGGTGACTTGCGAATGCTGTGGTACTGGTGGATGTGAGACTAAGGTATTTTAAAATACATGGCAATACTGTGTACGTTTATTTTTATACTTTGCTAATAAACACAAAACTACTTTTGAACAACTACAACTTTTATTGACTCATAAGTATTGATAATTTTTGCCTAACTCTGATATTTTTAAATTTAGCCTTATTTAACCTGAGACATCACATTGAGACTCACAGTGTATTTTGATTATTTGTAGTGTCCATTCTGTCATAAAGATGATGACATATCTGCTGCAGCAAAGGACAAAACATTTTGCTTGGAAGAAA